GGCCACCGGGCGCTGGGTCTCGCATGCTGCAAGCTTATTTAGAAGATCCGTGCGCAAGCCGCTACTTTTTTGTTATTTGAAATCGAGGTGCGTGTACTTCTAGCGTCTCGCACGTTTTGAACGACTACAAAGATGATCCGACCTTTCGTCTCAGCGTGAAACAACTCGTTGCCTTTGCTGAAGCGTGGCAGGCGCTGCCCCCTGGTATCCAGACACGAGCGCGCCGAGCGTGATCTCGCCTCGACGACTTTTTCGCCCAGAAGTCTGCTACGCCGAGTGGTGGAAACTCGTTCGAGGTTCCGCTGCGGCTGTGTATGTTGCCTTTCCCGATGTGGAGTGGGTCATGGGAGGTTCCTGGGCAAACTGATCTTCGCCTCGCCGATTCTGGTTTTCGACGCCACCTCGTTCGTCGAGTGCGCCAGGCCTGTTCGGCGCAGGTGTGGGCGTCAGCTGCCGTGCATTTTTGTGCTCAAGGCGTTGAGCACGGTGCTGATTTCATTGTATTTCGCCGTGTCCATCGCATCCTCTTGCTTGGTGGCGATTTCCAACGTGCAGCCATGCTTGTGAACGCTGTTGCGGGGGCGTGCTGGCCCGAGGGTCGCCTCCTGGACTCGCGATGCGCATCCGGTGTGATGTGCCAGCGATGCGCCGATCAGAAAGAGGGTGTGAGACGCCGTTGTTGGACTTGCCCGTGCAGATACAGAGCGCAGCAGTAGTGGCCACTGCCCAATTTATCCCGCAAGCTGACGGCGCCGCCCCTACTCTGCGATCTGGACCTGTGGTATTCCCTTGTTGTCCAGTACCGTGGGCCTTGTGCCGCCTCCTGTCTCCCGCGTCTGGTCTTGGGGGCTCTCTGGGCCTCCGCAGGTTATAGCAGGAGGTGTGCTGGGGCCCGATGGTTCTGGGTGCAGGCGTGCTCGAGCTGATCGTTTAAGACGGCGCGGGTAGTCTGCGGTGCGTCTTGGCGGACCCGTGAAGGCTAACTTCGTCTCGGTGCTGTATGTTGCGATCGCCCCCCCCCCCCCCCCCACACACGTTTGAGCAGTCCAGTTCGAGGGCCGAGCTGTTCGCGTTCTTGGTCTTGCTGATTCAAAGTGTTGGGGATATCGCATGCTATATTGGGCGCCTACCTTTGTGCTGTGCGATGTCCACGTCGCGAGTCTACACCTCCCAGCAGTTGCCCGTGCTCCATCTTTGGGCGATGATCTGGGCCGCGATCGATCGGAACAAAGGTTCGGAAGGATGAGCGCTTTCCGGACTGCGTCTCACGCGACTGAGGAGTTGCAAGGCAAATTCGTTGTTGGTTCCGGCGATTTGCTTGATGAATTGGCGTGCTGATTTCTTGGCAGGATGGGCTGCTGAATCGTCGGCAGTTCCTCCTGGTATCGTTCAACAGGTCAAGGGCCGTGATGCTCTCGCGCGCTCGGTCCTCTTTGGGCTGCTTGCTACCAACGCGGAGGAGACAACCGCGCGCAGGCGCATGGCGGGTTAACGCTTTGGCCGAGCTGCTCCAAGGCCCCGCAGGCTTTCTTCCCTTGGCACGAGGCAAGCCCGCCTTTTAGAGGTCGGGCACTCGTGCAGCAAACGTGGTGAGAGTTTGACCCGCCAGATATGTGGGCGCAGGCGTTTGATGCGGGGTTCCTTGCAGAGATTTTTCCTGGTCGGGTTTTGGCCAAAAAGTGCGGACACCTGGGCCCTCCCTGGACCACCCACTTTTTCAGCGGGCCCATATGGCTCCCGTCAACTGTTTGTGTTGTGTTTTTTTGTTATGTGCCCATCGGGGGGGGGGCTATGGTGCAGTCAATTCTGTGAACCTGAGCAGGCATTGCCTAACACACCCTTTTAAGACGGGGAAGGGTGTGTTCAGTCGTTTGTCGAGGGGCCTGTCGCCCAAGAGTGGTGTCCCATTCCCTCATGATGTGCGAGTGTTCAGGCGTGTCCTGGCTTGACAAGGTTCCCATGGCCCCCCGAACCGAACTGAATCCTCTTCCTCCTCTTCCTCCTCCTCCTCCTCCTCGTCCTCCTCCTCCTCCTCCTCGTCCTCGTCCCCTTCCTTCTCCTCCTCGTCCTCCTCGTCGTCGTCCTCCTCCTTCTCCTCCTCTTCCTCCTCCCCTTCCTCCTCCTCCTCCTCTCCTCCTCCTCCTCCTCCTCCTCCTCCTCCCCTTCCTGCTCCTCCTCCTCCTCCTCCTCCCCCCCTCCTCCTCCCCTCCTCCTCCTCCTCCTCCTCCTCCTCCTCCTCGTCCCCCTCCTCTTCCTCCTCCTCCTCCTCCTCCTCCTCCTACTCCTCCTCCTCCTCCTCGTCCTCCTCCCCTCGTCCTCCTCCTCATCTCTCTCCTCTTCCTCCTCTTCCTCCTCTCCTCCTCGTCCCTCCTCTCCTCCTCGTCCCCCCCCTCCTCCTCCTCCTCCTCCTCCTCCTTTTCCTCCTCCTTCCCCTCCTGCTCTCCCTTCTCGTCCTCCTCCTCCTGTTCCTTCTCCTCCTCCTCCTCCTCCTCCTCCTCCTCCTCTCTGAATTGGTGCATCTCGACAGCAAAATGCGCGGCGTCGGCGTGGCTGGGCGCCGAATTTTTCAGGACTTGCGGCCACGTGTGGGGCCCGGCTGTTATGAGAAACCGATGGAACGTCGCTCGGCCCGGACGCGGCAGCACTTTCGTGGGTAAAATCTTAGCCTGTGCGGGCTTCTCCTTGCGCGCGTTCTCGCCGTCCTCGTCCTCGCCGTCGTCCTCGCTGTCGTCCTCGCCGTCCTCGTCTTCGCCGTTCTCGTCCTAGCTATCCTTTTCCTCTCCGTCCTCGTCCTTGCCGTCCTCGTCCTCGTCCACGTCTGCCTGGAGTCGTCCTTGCCGTCCTCGTCTTCGTCGTTTTCCTCACTTCCCCCCCTTCTCGTGCGAGCGTCGAGAGTTGGCGCGCCCGCCCGTGCCAGGGATCGGCGCTGCTGGTGCCACAACGCAACGACAGAATGAGGGACTCGGCGGTGGACCCCCCTTGGCGCCCCTGGCGCGCTCCGCGCGCCACGGAGACAAGGGATCAGGACGGAAGAAAGCACGCAGACACATTTGCACTTTGTAGTTGATCCTTCCATTTTGACGACTCACCTCGATGACCTTCCCTTGGCGCCCCAACAATGAGGCTTAGGAGGAGTGTTGAAACGTAGGATGAGGAGGGAACGGGGGATGAGGGAAGAGGGAAGGGGAGGAGGAGGCGCAGGAGGATCGATCGAAGTTTGCGCAGGGGAACGAGTGTGATGATGGGATTGGCGGAGGATGATGTATTCGTAATATGGCTCTGGCGATGACGGTTGCGGTCATAGTACTTGTGATGCTGGTGATGATGATGGCGCCAATGTTTGCGATTATGTTGGTATTCGTCATTATGACAATGATAATGGTAGTGCAGCTATTGGTGTCGATGGCGGTGATATGAATGAGTGCGGGGATCTTGGTGTTGATGTTGGCGATGCTGCCGATGACGACTATGAGCCTCCTCGCCCTCTTCCTGCTCCTCCTCCTCCTCCTTCCCCTGTCGGACCTCTCCTCCTCTGCCGCCCCTCCCGCCTCTCCCCGTTTCCTCTTCGTCTTCGCCTGCCCTTACCTCCTCTGCCTCCTCCTCTGTCTCCTTCTCGTCCTCTGTCTCCTGCTCTGCCGCCTTCTGCTCCGCCTTCCCCTCTGCCCCTCTCCTGCTCCATCTCTCCCGCCTTTTCCTCCCTGGCCTCTTTCTCGTCGTTGCCGTCGTGCGCGAGGACAAGGCCGGGGTTGGTGGAGCGCGGAGGGGGGGCGGAGAGGAGGGAGGGGGAGCAGGGCGGGGTGGTAGGCAAGGGGCGGATTGAGGGAATACTTGCCAGGTGCATCCAGAGGAGAATGAACTGAAAACCATCAAGCCGAATCGAGCCCCCCAGGTCCCCCTTCCTCTGTTTTCGTCCTCTCTCCCTGCTGCAGGTGATCGCAAACACGGATCAAGGGGCGTGGATTAGCGACGGGCCCCGTTTCCATGGGAAATCGCGGATTTCCGCTGCCGAGCGAGGCGGCACCGGCCGCATTCTGGGGAACGCCACATCCATGGATCGCTAATCCATGTTTGCACGCCCCCGACTCCTGCTCTGCCCTCACCTGCCCAGATCTTCGACGCTATGATTTTTGCGCTGGCCCCCCGGAGGTCTTCACCCTTTTCTCCCGGGCCGACCTCTCATCCCGAGCCGTCTTCTGACGGTCGGCCAGAACTGTCCGAGAGTTTCCCGTCGTGATGCTCGACGAGAGGAGGTCTGGGTTCTCAAGGGCGTAAGAAACGCCCCTACCCTGGTGTACGAGGCGCTGTGTGCTAAACTTTCTGTTGGCTGAATGGGTAAACCCTGCGTATCGCGGGCCTGGCGGCTCTCTGGCCTTTAGGAGCTCCCAGGAGGTTTACAGACCACGCGCTTGTAACCCAGGGAAGGTTTTTTTCTCATCCCTCCAAGTTCGGCATCAACCAAACACTCTTTCATTGTGTGTGCGTCGCCCACCCCCTTGGGGCGACTCGCGCGCCGAGAACTCTTACTGCATAAGCTGCGTGGCGGACTCTTTCTAGCCAACCCGCGCGGGGGACAGGACACGCTACAATATTTCTGCATTTCATTACCAGTTCGGACGTGCAGTAGTAGTCTGTCCTTGTGCGTCCCATAGTTTCTTCTTCTCCCTGTCGCGAGGAGGTGGAGAAGGAGGACGAGGAGGAGGAGTCGAAGATGGAGGAGGAGGAGGAGGAGGAGGAGGAGGAGGAGGAGGAGGGGACTCAGGAAGAGAAGGAAGAGGAGGTGGATGTTGAGGATGAGGAGGAGGAAGAAGAGAGGAGGAGGAGAAGGATGAGGAGGAGGAGGAGGAGGAGGAGGAGGAGGAGGAGGAGGAGGGGCAAATAGGACGCAGATATCGGGCTGCCTCGTTCCGTCCTGGTGTTTCCCCCTGTCGTGAGGGGGACAAGGGCGGGTGGAGGGCAGCCACTAGCCTCTTGCGGCGGGCGGGCCAGGGCGGCTGGCGCAGGTGCCTCATGCAGCTCACCACCGCGGACTCCGTCTTCTTGGCCAGGCAGGAGTCAGGACGGGCACTTGCCGTCGGGGCACAGGAGGAGGAGGAGGAGAGGAGGAGGAGGAGGAGGAGGAGGAGGAGGAGGAGGAGGAGGAGGAGGAGGAGGAGGAAGAGGAGTGGGAGGAGAAGGAAAAGGAGGAGGAGGAGGAGGAGGAGGAACATGTAGAGTGAGAAGTAAGGGGTGGGGCGGATGATGAGGAGGAACACGAGAATGAGGAGGAGGAGGAGCAGGCGGAGGATCAGTAGCGATGAATGGTGAACAGCGGATGAGGAGCGATCAGTTCGGGGTGTGCAATGACTCCGATGAGGATAAGGTCGTGTAATTTTCAGGGGTGTTCCAGGAGGAGGTAGCGGAGGCGGAAAAAGGAGAGTGAAGAGAGGAGTGAGGAGGTTTGATGCTAGGGAGACAAAGGAGGTTATGATGGTAGTGGTGAGAGGAGAGGCATGACCTTGATGGATGGTGCTGGTGATGCTGATAACCTGATCTACTATGAGGGTAAGTGTGATGATGACGGTGACGATAGGTGGCGAGGGAGATATTAATAATTATAATGTGGCTGGTGGTCCTGCTGCTGCTCCTGCCGACGACCACGACGATGATGAAGATAAAGTTAATGATGATGACGATGATAATGCTGCTGCTGATGATGATGGTGATGCTGATGATGATGATGATGATGATGATGATGATGATGATGCTGACGATGATGATGGTGCTGCTGATGATGATGATGGTGATGCTGATGGTGATGATGCTGCTGATAATGATAGTGGTAATGATGTTTATGCCTCTTCTATTCTCTGTGAGCAAGCTCCTGCTGTCTCCGCAGCTTCTCTGCCCAAGTGCCCCCCCGTCGGCCGCGCGTGCGGGCGCCTTATGCAGGCGGTCGCACAAGCGGCTCTCGAGGGCGCTGGGGAGATCTTCTTCAGGGGGCTGCGGGCCGCGCTCTTCGAGCGGCTCGTGGCTGCCCCCCTCTCTGTGCTTCAGGACCAGGGGCCTCCTGCGCCTGCCTGGTCCATCCCGCAGGCGGACTCGTCCGAGGGTGAGGGGGCCTACTGCCCCCTCCCTTCGGCGGGTTCCGCCTGCCCCACCGTCTGCCTCGGGCTGGCGGTGGATCTGAGCGGCGGGGTCTCTCCCTGGCTGCTCAGCACGGTCGTCGCCCTCCTCTGGGTGACGGCCGCCTGCAGCGCCTGCGCGGGCTGCTGCCTCGGGCTGCTGGGCCCGTACGTGTGGCGGAGGCTCTGGGCCTCCGCCTGGCCGCGCGGCGCGGTTCCTGCTTCCCCTGAGCAGGACCGCCGTGCGGCGCGAGCGCTGGCCTACGGGGTTCCGCCTCGACCTCGAGCGCTCGAGCGGGCAGACGCCCAGCATTCGGGCGGCGGCTTCCACGGCGGCGCCCATTGATGGCGGAGCTGCCACCAGTTGGCGGAGGGCCCCTTTGGCCCGAGCTCTACCCATTCGCTGCTCCCACGGCGCGCGACTACGCACGATGGCGCCTAGACGACGGCGACACCAGCTGGGCGGCTATCCCCCTCGCCTCTCGAGAAGGGGGCATCCTTCTGGCCCTGCCTGGTGCCTTTCGCTCTACGGCGGAGCTCGAGGCTGCCGAGGCGGATGGCTTTGCTGGGATGATAGGCCCCTTCCAGCTAGTGGACGTCCAGCTCCAGGGGGCCGCTTCACGGCCGCTCGCCACTACCGCATCCGTCCTCGTTATAGATATCGAGGTTGCCGAGCTCGAGCTCGAGTCGCTGTACCCTCTAGAGGTCGGCGACGACGCAGGCATCGTTCCCTTCGCCGAGGTGCGCAGCCGCGTCTATTGGCCGCATCCTTCGGGGGTTCGGGTGCTTCGCGAGGGCTACGCTCGCTTGCACGGCGCCCCGCCTACCGCAGGGGAAGAGCCTCTCCCAGGGGCCGATCGGGCTACCCCCTATCACTCTGCCGACGAGATGGAGGAGCCCGAGGGGTTCGCGGCCGACGGGGAAGCCGACCGCACGGCCCCAAGTGCGCGATCTCCCGCGGTCGCTGGAGCGCCGCGCGGCCCGCCCGCCAAGCGCGCGGGCGCCGCCGCCCCGCCACGGGTCGCGGGTCCTGCTCCGATCGCTCCTGGTGCTCCTGCGGCGTCTCTGGGCGACGGGGCTCCCATGACCCGCGCCGAGGTAGCTGCCGAAATGCGCGCCTTGCTTGCAGCCCACGCGGCCTCCACGATGGTCGGCGGACCCGAGCCGCTGGGCCCCGCCCCGGCTGCCCGGAGTGTTCGGCCCGAGGTGCCTCAGCTTTTCAGCGACGAGGCGGCGCGCCTCGGGCTGGATCCTGCGGGGATCGAGGCCGTCCTGTCCCACGCGCCCGTGGCCCCACAGCGGGTCTCCGCGCGTCCCAAGGGTCCGACCTCCGCGCTGGTCTCGGCGTGGGAAAAGGCGCGCTCTCTTGCTGTCCCTCAGGCCCCTTCGTCCGCTTTCGGTCCGATGGGTCCCCCGCCGCCGCCTGGGCTAGCCCATCCCGCTGCGGTCGACGGCTTTGCCGAGGCGGGCGGCGCCGACGGGTCAGAGCCGCCCCATGCGGCCAATCCGACGGACTTCAGCCTCATGCTTCAGTGCCTGCACCAGTCCCTTTTATTGCAGCAGGGGCGGGGCCATCGCCCAGCCGTCCATCCGCTTCTGGGGACCCTGAGCGACCAAGCTCAATCTCCGCCCACGAGCTCGGGCGACCACGCGCACGCATCGGCTCAGATGGGGGGAATTGCTCGGAGGCGCGAGTGGCAGCAAGTGCTGATGCAGCACGGCCCCGACGTGCGAGGACTGATGAAGGAGAATTTGGCCCGCGTCCTGGGCGTGGAAGTCAGCGCCGTGACCCCCATGGCCATGCATCAGTACTTTCGCGAGCACAGCCCCCTCGGGGCTCAGCCGTCGACGCACGAGTTGTTGACGCATTTTGCCTTCCTCAGCGCCGAGCTGTGGCGGGCCTGCGAAGAGGGCAACCCCGAGAGGGTCCAGACCTTGCTGACTTGCCAGTGCATGTTCATCGACCAGTTGGCGGGGGACCGCGGCTATCTCGAGGCCGCCTGGTTCCTCACGGGGCTGGAGCCTCCCCCGTGTCGCGTGACCAGTCGTCACACGGAGCGCGAGGCCCAGACCCCGTTCTCACCCCTGGTGGATCCTCGCTGGCTGTCGGCGCAGGGCGAATACATGAAGGAGCTGCAAGCATTTCGGGCGCGTCTCGACGCCGAGCGCGCCGTCGCGCTTCCCAAGCATCCACCTCATCAGCCCAAGCAGCCCAAGGTTTCAAAGCCCCCCTTCAAGTCTCAGGGTGCTTCCAAGGCCCCGAAGGCGGTGCCCAAGAAGGACTGAAGATGCCCTTGGCGCCCGCCTCCTGGAAGGGGGGGCCTTCGCGCGGCCGGGGTACGCCGCCGCAAACAGTTTGCACCGACGCTGCTACGGCTGCCAGGCGTGTTTGGGCGCAGCGAGGGCGTGAGGGTAGGAATGCGCTCCTCCAGCGATGCTGTTGCGGCCCCGCAGGGAGGAGTACGTTCCGCCACCACGCCCTTCGCTCTGCTCCGAACCGCTCCTCGGATCCCTTCGGCCATTTTGGCCGTCGCCTGCCTCAGTCGAGCGCGCCCTCCAGGGGGCCTGCAGCCCCTGAGGTTGGTGTTCTTGCTGGTGCTTGTTCTCCTTCAAGCACCCCTGCTGCTCTTGCCAAAGTCGCGCCATTCGTCGCTGACTTGTCTGCCTTGCTGCGCCTGTTTCCAGGCGCGAACATTGATATCACCCACTGGGCGGCAGCGCTGTCCCAGGTTGGGATGGGTGCTCGATGTTCTCTTGGATCTTTCTCCCGCTCATCAATGCGTGCAATGGACAGGGACGACCCGTACCTTTTGGGGCCGCCTCCCCGCGATCCTTGGCCGTGCCCGCCTGCTCCACCTCTTGGTCCCCCGCCTGACGGCTTGTCGGCGAGGCGCAGGGGGCGCTGGAGATTGCGGCGCGCGGCGCGGACGCTCGCGCAGTATTCTGTTATTGCGTTGAACTGGCTCACTTTGGGTCATCCTAGCCTCGCTCCCGCCGAGGCTCGTGTCCGCGCCACGGTCTCGCCCTGCCAGGAGGGCGTCCGCACCCGTATCGAACGGTTGTGTCGGATCGCAGTTCGCCTCGCCCGTGGCGGCAAGAGCGACTTAGGTCGAGCCTTCGCCAAGTTCGACTCTACTGAGGTCTCGCTCCATGGCCTGGCCACCCATGTTGCAGCTTTGGAGGCCTCCTTCACCTCCTCTTCTTCCGTGCCCGCCCCCATGCGGCACTGCCCGACCAGCGCTCCTTCCGTGCCTGGTTCGCTGGCGTCTGCGGCGGCTTGGGACTCCACCCAGGTCGAGCCCTTCGATTTGAAAGTCAGGGCGTCTCGCATCAAGTGGGATTATTCGCCAGAGTTTGATCCCGTTCCATTCCTCTCTGACGCTCGAGTCCGCGAAGCGTTCATCGATCCTGAGGTGATGCGGCTCCCGGCGTCAGAGTGGCCTGCTGGCCAAAAGGGGGCGCGCGTCCATATGGACCGCGCCGAGCTGTGGGCCCTACTCCAGAAGTGGGATGCCTGCGGCGCCCTGTACCTGACTCCTGCTTCGGACCTCGCCTGGGATGAAGCCTGCGGAGCTTTCAGGGTACCGAAAGACAGCGACTTCGACAGGTTGATTCTGAACCCAACGGTCGTGAACAGCCGCTGTGCTTCAATCTCGTCCAGCACCCAGCGCCTTGGCCAGGGTTTCCTGCTGTGCCGTTTGGGGCTGGCGCCTGGGGAATGGCTGGCAGTTTCTTGCGACGACCTACGGGAGTTTTACTACACTTTCCGCGTTCCTCCCGCGCGCGCCAGGCGTAACGCCCTGCGCGTTCGTCTGCCATCATCCCGCTTCAAGGCCTTTCGAGCCTGGCGCCCCGAGCTCGAAGGTGTGGATGTCGCGCCCTGCCTCAATGCTCTCGCGATGGGCGACAACATGGCTGTGGAGATTGCCAACTCTGCGCATGAA